GCCCATGCATACATGAATAGTGCTCATCCAATGTCATACAATAATACAAACTGGCCACACATGCAAACAGTCTATCAATCTCGCAAGTTTCGATAACGATACAAGTATTAACCACAAAACATCACTATCAATTCTTGGCATAACAATAAAAATAATTTAATACCAATAATCTCGTAAACTTTCTTGAAAACTTCCGATCAAAACAATTTGTCGTAAAAAAATAATTTTATACGACAAATCACGGCACAAACGCCAACATTCAAACTAGAAATCATAATTTGAAATTATAAATTTTCCGAAATAATAATAAATAAATTCGGAATTTAATTATTTAATAATATCCGAAAATAATTTCTTTTCAAAGAATTCAAAATATTTTCTCGAATCAAAATCATTCAAATAATTTTCTAAAACGCCATCTTATACGGCAAAAACCAACATTGGCATCACAATTAACGTTAGAAAATTTTCCGAAAATAATACTATTTAATTTTCGGAAATTAATTATTTAATAATAAAATAATAATATTTAATTCGGAATTAATTTATTAACTAATAAAATAATATTTAAATTCCGAAAATAATAACATTTCATATAATAATCAATAACAATAAACTAATCAATAACTTATACCCTAAACACAATTAATTAACCACTAATCCACAATTAACACAAACTAAACATAAATTAAACTACCCTAAGCAAGTTTAACGCCCTAAACACGGGATTAGGGGTTAACTTTACTCGGCTAATGCCGGCGACGACGCGAGGACGACGACGGCGACGAGGGCGGTCCGCGGTGTCCTCGGGTTGCTCCGGCTCGGGCTCGACGAATGGACAACGAACGGCGGCAAACAAGCACGGCAAAGGGAGCGGTTGATGTGGGCTGCACGGGGGCTGTTCCCAGCGGAAATGGCGGCTGACGGAGGCGGCTACCAACGGCTGGGGGTGCTAGACAGTGGCGGTGGGCGGCGGAGACGGGCGGCGGGCGTGACCGGCGAGAGGCGCTGCTCACGCGAACAGAGGGGAGGAAGGAAAGGCAGTCGGCCGAGGGGAAAGGGCACGGTGGTGGACGGCACAACTGGGCGAGGCGGGCGGCAGCAACGCGCGGTCAGGCGCGGCGTGCGGCTGAGCTGGTCCCGGCGGCGAGTTGCAGAGGAAGAAGCTAAACCAAAAGCAAGAGCGTCGGAGGGGGGGGGGGGGGGGGAGAAGGAAGGGAAGGAAGAGAAGGAAGGAAAAGAAAAGAAAAAGAAAAAGGGAAGAGGAGAGAGGGAGAGTTAGTAGGGGTTGGTGAGGGGATGGGATGTCAGGCACGCAAGGGAGCCGGCGGGAAAAGAGGGGAGGAGAGAGAGAGAAGCAAAGGTCAAATTGCAATAATCGCGATTCAACGGTCACGGTTTAAACCCGAAAACGATCCGACGGTCCCCGAAAAATCCCAATTAATAATATGGGAAAAGGGCCAAAAGATATTAATAAAAACACATTGCAAGGAAGGTCTACTAGTCCAAATCCGCACTCGATCAAAATTTCACTTTTAATTTATCCCGGGTAACATCGAGGTTGGCCACAATAATATCGACACCGTCCAATTAAACTCGTCCCGAAACCCCGAGAAATTCGACACCAAAGTTTGGGCTCTAAATAACGATCAAATTCGATAGAGTGCGATTCTAGCGAAATCTCAATTTTAAAAACAATAACCGGGAGTGATCAGTTCCCGGACGAGATTTTACTATAAGCACACTAACGAATTACACGTTTTATAAATCCCAAAAATGGGCCGAAATTCGGAATGTCATAGTATCGAATGTAAATTTTGGCAAAGAAACTAAAATTGGGATAATTGTCTAAAAAATGTTAAACCTAATATACGACAGCCAATTAAGTCGTAAACTTTTTAATTTGGTCAGTTTAGTCCTAAACCTTTTAAAAATTTGTCAATGTAGTCATTCGGGTCAATTTTAACTGAAAATCGTTAATGTGGACGTCGGTCATCCTATGTGCATAGCTAGAGACAAAGGGTGTTGACTTAGATAATATTTTCAATTTTTTCAATTTTCTTATTTTTTTTTCCTTTTTCTTTCTTCTTTTTTCCTATTTCCCTCCGTCGGTTGTCTAGGCCACAGCAATGGCCCACAAAGGTCACCCACTAGGGACCATGGGCCCTCACCTAGTGGCCGACAAGGGCCGGAGACCTCCACCGGCCATCGTCAAGGCCCCAGCGATTGGCAAAGGGAAATAGAGAAAAAAACAAAAAAGATGAAGGAAAGAAAAGAAAAGACACAAAAAAAAAATTCAGATTTTTTTTTAAAAGGTGCAAAAATCGTCCACGTCAGCTTTGACGTTGGTAGTGCCACGTAGGACGGCTGACGTTGATTGGACTGTCGCTTTTGCGATTTCCTACCAACATTGGCCGAAAGGACTATATTATCAAATTATCAAAAGGTTTATAACCAAATTGTGTAAATCGAAGAGTTTATGACTGAATTAATCGTCATACAATAGACTTAGGATTTTTCGGACAATTTTCCAACCTAAAATTAGTTTCTTCGTGTCACGAACATTTATAAATTGTGTAAGTTATAAAATATGAAATGTTGAGTAAGATTTATGACCTATGAAATTGATGATTCCTACGCACAAGAAGATAGAATACCTGATTGGGTTATTAATGCAAGGGTTACATTTGTTGGGGCGTGATTCATACTCACTATCGATAGGAAAGCACGGGGGTCCGGAAGGGCTACTAAGTGGGGGTTGTAGGGGGTAGCGCCCCTGCGACGCCTGATTGCTCATATAGTTTGAGCTTGTATTTTATTGGTAGTTTAGGTTTTGGCCTATGAATAGCTAATCAATATATATAATATCTTTCTCTTGTAATTGAGGATATAACAGAGAGGTGAAATGTGCTAAATATAATGGAATCCTCAATTGGACGTAGCCCTAGTTTAAGAGAAAATCAGGATAAAATTCCGTGTCTCGATTTTTCTTTCTCACCTTTATTCTCTTTTTCCTTGTGATTGTGCGCCAAATCCTAACAACATTCAAGTATAAATCACAAATCTTTTCATGCCATTCTATTTATTATTGTATCGCAAGGAACTACTTCCAATTATTTTGTACCAATCAAACATAGCATACACTATAAAATACAACAAAATTTACATAATTTGATAGGCAAACATACAAAAATTGAATCCATGGATTCGTTTCGAACCCTAAATTAGCTCGGGGATTTAAATATTAGCTGTTCACTTTAATAAATCCGGATCGCTGTTTGCTGACTTCTGTGTCATCACGCTTGCAACTTCCCTTATTTTTCTCATAACCGAACTCGCATTTATTTTTCACTTTGGTCGACCGATGATAACTCCCTTTTATCGTGCATGGTTGCCAGGTGCGGACATTTGCTTCTTTTCTTTGTCCTTTTTTCCTTTTCTATTTCTTTTCTTTTTTCTGCTGAAAACCGTATAAAATAGTTTCACCTTGTTATTGCGTAATCACTAAATCTATAAGTGACCTCTCGTTATTATTGACCCTATCTTTGTAAATTTTTTTCTTGACTTGGGAGCTCAATTCCGAAGATGGTGCTAATTGTATGTAGTGATAAAAAGAATTTGTAAATGATTTGTTTCTTTTACCATGCATCAATCATTACTCTACGCAAAAGATTTATTCGGTATGTAATGAGATGTATTTCCATAGAAGGCATAGTACGAATTTACCTAAAATCATTTTACATATAGTTGATGACCGTTCGACTCACTCTTTTCGCTCCTACGTAATATAAATAGTTTACTTAGGTAGCACATCGTTATGCGATCATCGAATTGTCTTCAACTGTTTGTCGAAAAGGAATGCTAGGACATTGAATTGCAGAAGTACGAACGACTTACATTTACCTAAAAATGATGTTGCTAATCATATAGTACAAACTGATTAACGGCATGTTGTACACTGTACGAGCATACACCCATAAGAACGAGAAAATATTCAGTGGTATGATACTGCCACGTCACTTGCCTACGTGGCATACATGTTCCATTAAAAGAGTGACATGTGTCACTGACGTGGAAATTAAAAAAAGAGGAAAATTTGTCAGCGCCCCCCCCTCTCTCCTCTTTAATTACGCGCGCTCTCGCTCTCTCCTTTTTGCGTCTTCATCCCCACTCTCTCTCTCTCACTTTATTTCAAATTTCACACCTCTCACCTCTCTCCTCTCTCAGTCTTGAAAAATCCTCCGACCACCTCCGACGAGCACCGCCAGACGCTCCCTCTCAGCTGCGACGGAGGCTTGGTGGAATGGAGTCGGGGTCGGAGGGCTCCCTCTGAAGAACAGGTCATCGGAGAGAGATCGAGCCGTGGTTCTACCCGGAGGACCCAGAAGATAGGCGAAGTTGAACTCCCTGTCGACGGCGTCGCCTTGCCATCCTCGTCGCCATCTCCGCATTCACTCTCCCTCCCCCATGGGTCTCCATGAAAAGCCAGGTCAGCTCGGGCGCAGATTCCAATTTTTAAATGTTCGTTGAAGCAGCGCTTCCCGCTTCGTACGCGACAACTCCGAGAGCGCCGCGGCAGCACCTCTTTGCGCTGCTCTGGAGCCGCGGCGCCCCGAGGAGCCTCCCCCAGATCCACGCCCAGGTCGTCGTCAACAGCTGCGCCGGCAGCAGCTTCGTCCTCGCCCAGCTGCTCTCCCGCTACGTCGGCTCCGGCCTCCTCGCGGACGCCTCGAGGGCCTTCGAGGGCGCTTGGAACCCGAGCACCCCCGCGTGGAACCAGATGATCCGGGGACACGGGCAGGGCCCCGCGCGGCGAGAGTCGGTGGAGTGCTTCGCTCGGATGGTGCGCGGGGGTGCAGAGCCCGACGGCTACACGTTTTCCCATCTCCTGAGCGCTTGCGTGCGGTTGGGCTTGTTCGGAGAAGCATTACAGGTGCACAGGAGGGGGTGGGTACGTTTGCCATCCGTTTGTGAAGACTAATTTGGTGAATTTGTATGCGATGGGGGGAGGGGAGAGTGGGATGAAGGATGCGTGCAAGGTGTTCGATGATATGGGTGAGAGGAATCTCGTGTGTTGGAATTCATTGCTTGCTGGGTACGTTAGGCGCGGAGACATGGGTGGCGCGCGGAAACTGTTTGACGAGATGCGGGAGATGAATGTTGTCTCTTGGACAATAATGGTTGCTGGGTATGCTCAGAATGGAATGTGTAGACAAGCGCTGAGCGTGTTTGATGAGATGCGGAGACTTCGGGTGGAGTTGGACCAGGTGGCCCTGGTAGCTGCGCTGTCGGCTTGTTCGGAGTTGGGAAATTTGAAACTTGGCGAGTGGATCCATTCATATGTCGTAGAGAAAATACGTGCTAGAAATCAGCAATCATCGGTCACTCTGAACAATGCCATTATACACATGTATGCTAGCTGCGGCTTGATAGATGAAGCCTACGGGGTGTTCAGGAAGATGCCACGAAGAAGCACAGCCTCTTGGACGACCGTAATCATCGGATTGAATGGCATTCTCAAATTACAGATCCAGTTCGTGGCCGGTGATAGGAGCCACAAGCACACATTGTCCATACACGAGATGCTTAGAAAGGTGATAGTTCAAGCCGAGTCAGGAGGAGACCGGTCAGATGCATCGGATGAGGCTTTGTGCGCTGCAGCCTAGAAAGGGTAAAGATGGGACTTTTTGCGCAGCAATACTTCCTGCCCGTGTGCTACGGCCTGCAATGTCTTCGCTCGTTCGGACTGCAAAGGTTTGTTGGTGAATCCTGCATCAAGCAAGAAGGTTTGAGCGCCATTTGATTACATTTCAAAAGCTCTAACTAACGTCAATTGTCATCCGTGAATAATACTTGTTCAGAGAGTATCTTGGTACTTTGATAGTAGCTCCCATTCTTTTGTATCATCCGTTCCGGTGGCGTTTAATGAATTGTACAGATACTTTAGAAACATTCTGATTTTGGATTCTTCAGAAACGGAATGAAATGGTGATGTTCGTCTATGGAACTCTTGCTACAGGAGAAATGTAAAATTTTCCTCGTGAATTGATTAATGGATTATGCATCTCTCTCTTGCGCGTGCATCAACACACAAATACTTGACCTCTAAAAAACAGACGGAAGGATGGTAGAACGTAAAAACAATTTTAGTAAATTGGGCAACAGAACCCTGGGGCCAAGATTTTGTTTTATGCTTTCTTTTGCTGCAAGTTGCATTCCTGTTGGCTGAGAAAGGATTATTTTGACATTACAAGCACAATGACAAAGTCTAGAGATAAAATGGGGTATGCAAATTTTGCACGTTGGCACCTGGAAGAGGTTAGCGAATAGAAGTAGCAAGCATTCATATGTTAAATTGTTGATCAATACAACAATCTGCTTTTGGGTGTAAGCAGTTATGTGCTTTGTAAATTACGACTCGAGTATTAGACCTACAATTGACACCCTTTAATGTAACTAAATATTCGTCAAAAGTTTTTTATGCATGGATTCATGAAAGTAATGATTTGGATGTGTTCAGGATTCGGTGTGATGATTTCTTTTAATTTTTGTTCCTACTGCAAATTGACCAAGCAAATGTTTGGAGGCAAACTGCACATTGACATTCGTTGCTGTGAACTCAATTGAGGAGAAAATCTTCACAAGCACTACTAAAAAAGAGAATGTATCAATTTCCTGTTTCCTCATTAGGTTATGACATTGCATCATAGTACATGAAATGCAAGATTACATCCAGATCTTCTCTAGTGATAAACAGAACATAGAACTCATTCAATATAGAGACACCCATGGCAAACATGGACGATCTATAAAGATGGCAATCATTAACCCCGACGGCAGAACCTCACGTAGATAAAGAGTTAATTTAGCTAGCCAAATATTAACGATAGCAAAATACCGCATCGCATCGAATTCATCAAGTGATAATTTTGACAAGACGTATCCATTGGACACTAGATAAAGGAGAATAGAAACTTTCTATTCATTTCTAGAGTTGAGAATGCCATTCAATCCGATGATTACGGTCGTCCAAGACGCTGTGCTTCTCCGTGGCATCTTCCTGAACACCTCGTAGGCTTCATCTATCGAGCCGCAGCTAGCATACATGTGTATAATGGCATTGTTCAGAGTGACCGACGATTGCTGATTTCTAGCACGTATTTTCTCTACGACATATGAATGGATCCACCCGCCAAGTTTCAAATTTCCCAACTCCGAACAAGCCGACAGCGCAGCTACCAGGGCCACCTGGTCCAACTCCACCCGAAGTCTCCGCATCTCATCAAACACGCTCAGCGCTTGTCTACACATTCCATTCTGAGCATACCCAGCAACCATTATTGTCCAAGAGAACATTCATCTCCCGCATCTCGTCAAACAGTTTCCACGCGCCACCCATGTCTCCGCGCCTAACGTACCCAGCAAGCAATGAATTCCAACACACGAGATTCCTCTCGCCCATATCATCGAACACCTTGCACGCATCCTTCATCCCACTCTCCCCTCCCCCCATCGCATACAAATTCACCAAATTAGTCTTCACAAACGGATGGCAAACGTACCCACCCCCTCCCGTGCACCTGTAATGCTTCTCCGAACAAGCCCAACCGCACGCAAGCGCTCAGGAGATGGGAAAACGTGTAGCCGTCGGGCTCTGCACCCCCGCGCACCATCCGAGCGAAGCACTCCACCGACTCTCGCCGCGCGGGGCCCCGCCCGTGTCCCCGGATCATCTGGTTCCACGCGGGGGGTGCTCGGGTTCCAAGCGCCCTCGAAGGCCCTCGAGGCGTCCGCGAGGAGGCCGGAGTCGACGTAGCGGGAGAGCAGCTGGGCGAGGACGAAGCTGCTGCCGGCGCAGCTGTTGACGACGACCTGGGCGTGGATCTGGGGGAGGCTCCTCGGGGCGCCGCGGCTCCAGAGCAGCGCAAAGAGGTGCTGCCGCGGCGCTCTCGGAGTTGTCGCGTACGAAGCGGGAAGCGCTGCTTCAACGAACATTTAAAAATTGGAATTTGTGCCCGAGCTGACTTGGCTTTTCATGGAGACCCATGGGGGAGGGAGAGTGAATGCGGAGATGGCGACGAGGATGGCAAGGCGACGCCGTCGACAGGGAGTTCAACTTCGCCTATCTTCTGGGTCCTCCGGGTAGAACCACGGCTCGATCTCTCTCCGATGACCTGTTCTTCAGAGGGAGCCCTCCGACCCCGACTCCATTCCAACAAGCCTCCGTCGCAGCTGAGAGGGAGCGTCTGGCGGTGCTCGTCGGAGGTGGTCGGAGGATTTTTCAAGACTGAGAGAGGAGAGAGGTGAGAGGTGTGAAATTTGAAATAAAGTGAGAGAGAGAGAGAGTGGGGATGAAGACGCAAAAAGGAGAGAGCGAGAGCGCGCGTAATTAAAGAGGAGAGAGAGAGGGGGGGGGCGCTGACAAATTTTCCTCTTTTTTTAATTTCCACGTCAGTGACACATGTCACTCTTTTAATGGAACATGTATGCCACGTAGGCAAGTGACGTGGCAGTATCATACCACTGAATATTTTCTCCATAAGAACTAACAATTTTACTTTTTTGGGTCCTCATTAATATCGAGTTGGGAATCTTCTCGTGCACTAAATTCAGGAAAGGAAAATCTCGGGACAGTCCTATCCTCCATTGAAGCAACCCATTCATGGTCGTCACTATACTATTATCGCTTACCTTGTATGAATGGTTCTTATAAAAAAGTAAATGACTTGCTTATATTTATGCAAAATATCACCTTCTATACTTTGCAATAATGAATGCCAACTCCTTGTATGACAACATTCCGAAAAAATCTTGGAAATCCCATTATAAAACGGATTGAAAAGTGGATGTCTTTCACCACAAACAGAAGTCATTGCTCTTCCCATTTCTCTCTTTTTTGCCAATTCAGTCTTCTTATCATGGCCTTGAACAATCCAAACTCTCTCCCTCTTGGCGGCTCCTCTGACGATGCTGTGGCGAAAAGCGCTAGAGCTGAATATGACAGGAGGAACCGCACCCTCCCTCACCCAAAGCACGGGCCCTGCACGTGCCCCAGGTGTGAAGGGTTGCTTACGACCTCCCAGCTTTTCGCTGCTCATATGAGATCCCATTACAAGTCGGAGAGCGAAGAAGAGAGGAGGATGAGGTAGGAAGAGAAGCACAGGCGCCGTGGGAACCATCAGGGGCCAGCGAGGGCTGCAGCAGGGCCCATGGTCATGGCGGTTCAACCCACACAAGTCAGGAAGCTCAGGTTAAAAACCTTAGCAAGGAATGTACCCATGCCTGTGCAAACAGAAAGTGTTGAACTACAAGAGGTGGAGGTAGAGATGGAGGTGAAGATGGAGATGGAGATGGAGGACGTCCAAAGCATTGGAAGTGCTCCAGGGATTATGGAGACTAAGGAAGAGCCTGTGATGTGAGATCTAGGAGTTGTGGATTGTCTTGCAATGTAATAAGTATATGCGATGGTGGATGATCAATGGGATGCTTTTATGGAGAAGAGATTGGGTGTTTTTTTTTCATATTTATGCATCAATATGAATCTTTTTTTTTTAAGAAAATGGACTTGGTTTATTTACAAATTTTGGTTTGGATGCACATTTGCCATTCTCCAAATTATTAAATAAATACGCATACATACATGACTATTCTCATGCGCACGCGAGTGAGAGAGAAATTCAAAATAAGAATTGATAGAATGACTGACAAATGCTTGGCTCGATTTATTATGATAAATGAGAGATAACTCCACATAGCAATTGTTCCAAATAAGAGAAGCCAAACATATTTAATAATGAATTTCAGTGATGGAAGAATCGTTTGGGGGGTGGGTTTGGGTTGGTTTTGGAGGACGAGAGAGCTGGTACGTTATTGAGATTATTTGTATAGGTTATGTTTACTAGATCAAGGCAATCACATTTTAAAAGTCCATGAGATCCGTACTAAGTCCCACTAGAAATCACAAGATCTCGTGACAATTACTGCATTGGAGTTGGTTTTGTCCATTACATCACCCATTGAATAAGTCTATAAACAAATCAAATCAATGAGTGAGAAGGATATAGTTCTATGTATTTACCTAACTAGTGCGACGCCAAGCATACATTGACAACTCTTGAGTTTTGCATAGTATCTATTCGCATTATGCACCTTTAACATGTCGCTGGTGCACATTGATTCTAACAATTTAGCTACAAATTTCATGCTTGACCATCTTGTATTATGATTAGTTATGTCTGAGTTCCTATTAACATGTCTTTACGAACAAATTTCTTCTTGACTTGGATAGAATTAATTTGTTTAAAATGGATGACGTTCGTGGACTTTCAATTCGAAAAACTTTGATTTAAATGACATAATAGTCTTGATGGCCGCTGGACGTCCTCTTAGATTAACCTTGACTTCTTGTCTGTAAGTATTGTCTCCAAAAGGTTTGATTTAGATAGCATACCGTTATTGACCGTTAGTCTTACTCCTTTTTATTTACTCTAATGCAAACAATTTTCTGCAAATGGCATATCGTTAATTTGGCCAGAAAATTTTATTTATAAGGAATATCGTTATTGAGCGTTATACTTACTTTATTCACTTGTGGGTAACGTAAATAACTTTTTTATTTATGGCCGTTAGTCATCCTTTGACTTCGTGTCACTTATTCTTTTATCCA